ATAACTTATAATTTTGTATGTTAATTCACAGCATGAAATTTTAAGCGCCATGCGTTTAGCAAACAAACACACTCACGAAAAAATAATGAAATTAGAATGCCACTTTTAATATTAGAAAACTGCTGTAGTAAAAAAAAATTTAATTTTTAATTTTATCATTCTGTAATAAAACCACAATACGGGAGAAATACAGTGATGTAGTCTTGAAAATAGTCTTGCAAAAATATATTGTTTAGAGCTAGAGCAATTTCATCATTATAAAAAGTGAAGTATAAAAGTTTCGATACTTTTGGATGCACCAGAACTAATAGAATTAATGTAAAAATTAAAATATAGAAATAGTAAAAATATAGAAACGGTAAACAATTGTAGCGGCAATTCTATACCTATGTTCCATAGCAAATCAAGTAATATCAATTTAAGTGTCTCATTTTCTTCAAATGAATAATAAAACAGATTCCATCTTTGTTATCCATCTTACTCCATCTTTGTTAGAAAGAAAGACGCATTTCCTTATTTAAAAGAAGATTTAACATAGCATAAATAGTTAAGGAAACCATATCTTCAAGGAAAAATTCTGATTCTGATGTTTTACCTTAAGGCAACGACGACCACATCTTCCGTCAGATTCAATATATTACGACAGCTAAGGAAGAACGTTTCTGTTACAACTCATTTTATTTTTAACTCATTTTGCGGTGATATTAAAATATTTTTATTATATATATTATTATCATTGCTTTACATTGCTACTATTATCATTGCTTTACATTGCTATTATTATCATTGCTTTACATATGATAATAATAGCCATAATATATTTATTTTCAGCTAAAATGCATATTTAAAATGAGTTAGTTCAATTATTAACTAACTGTTAATGATTTCATTTTATTATGTAAGCGTAATGTAAAATATTACAAATTATTGAATGTATTGCAAACGTACGTCAAAGAATTCCTGTTGGTTGGACACCTTAGATCAAAAATAATAGTAGTTGGGGCCTAATATTTCAATAAACATATTTTTAATATATTTTTATCAGTGTCTTTTTAAGAACGAAAGAAGAAGTACAAAACATTGTAAAGAAAACAACTATTTATTCTTATACGTTTGAAACTTGTTTTAACTCTATTTAAAAAGAAAAGAACAATTATTATTTTTCCCCATAAACAATCGCATTAATTTCTTCAATTTTCATTAAAATTTGTCATCTCATGTAGAAACATTTACAGTAGATCATCATCCACAAGTTGAATAGAAACTTAAACAGATATCAAAACACTAGAGGTTAATATTCATTTCCTTTTAAAACTACTACATTGTTGTAAAGCTTTCAAACAAGTTGATACAAAGTTTATATCTAAATAAAAATTTAAAAGAAAAAACTCATTTTTTACAATGATCTTGAAAAAAAAAAGCGCTAAACGATAGAGTCAGCGTTATTTACGTGTGATGCATTACCTGTCATTGAGTTCAAAAACAAGAATGATAAAAATCGTGATCAGGGATCCGATTAAGAATTTAACAATACCTCACCTTAAATCTAAATAGTGAAAGGGATGAAAATAGCATGCATCATTTAAAGATGAACAACACCTTGTTTTTGTAGGTCATCAGCGGAATAAATATTGCAATAAGTCTCTCAAGTATTATAAGAAAATTAAGTAGACATATATGGTGAGTAAAAATAAATTCTATTCTGTCTTAATCAGTCAGTGTTTAATTACTTTCGTAATCTTTTTAAAAATCATACCTACGTTTAAATCGGGGATCATATATTCATTTCTACGAAATTTCTTACATGCAATTTATATATATATATATATATATATATTTTTAANCTAATATTATATATATATATATATATATATATATATATAAAATTTCTACCCATATGAAAAAAGGTAGTTAATTGTGTACTTTTTAATTATTTTAAATTTCTAGAATTTTTTGTTAGCATAAAATAATAAAAATATAATAATAAAATAGGGTTTGCGCATGTGTCCGTGTGTGTCACACTTATATTTTCAAAACTGTTTTGGTTAGAGTTCTTAAATTTAAACATGCGGTTCATGGCAATTTTAAGGCATGGTCCAAAAAATCATTCTCAAATTTTAATTAGTAAGTTCGGGACGAATGTACGAAACATTAATGTTAATTTTTACGAAAGACTTGATTACAACTTAGTTTTTCTTCCTTTCCTTTCTTTTCCTCTTTCTTTCTACAATTCATTATTTTTTTTTAGTTATTTAAAAGGCTAGAGTTACTTCATCTAAGGCTTGCCTCGCTCACCAACCCACGTAATTGCTGCAGATTCAGCATTGTTTTTTTATTTAATTAATGTCAATATTTTCCACAAAAATAACGAGCATTATTTTTATAAAGCAAACAATCATTGTAGGTTTATATAAAAGCATTTTGTCAATATGTTAATTGTAATGAAATGAACGATTACCAGGATCTGAAAAATAAACATCCCTATTTAAAAAAGAATTTAATGAAAGAAATGCGGATTGTATGACCCAATAAAAGAATGAATAAGCAATTTTACTCGTTAATGAGTCTTATAACAGTTTAAATAGGGAACGTTTTCTTTATCTATCTTTGCTCTAATGTTTCATTTTTCCTAAAATCTCTAATGTTTTATTTTTATTTTTCAAAATATTTTAAATGTTAAGGAATAAATCTGACAACATGTAATCTCTCTCATTAGTTACGTTTGATATCAAATCAAGCAGAAGCTTATAAAATAAAGATCTTAAGAGATGAAAATAAATTTTTCTTCTAATATAAATAGTCAATATTTAAAGAAAAAAACTGAGAAAAATCCTCATGAAAAAAAGCACCTAAAATCCCGATAACTTTTAAACAAACTTGCAGTCTAAAAAAAATAAAAACTTGTGTTAGGTTAACGAATGGAGCGGGCTCTTTCAGCATGCCAAACTTCACTCCCTCTGGGTAGCACATCGACTTGCATGTTATTTTTTACAGCAAGTTTAATAGCTAATAACTATTGAACTTTGTATGAAACGCCATTTTTTTCAATCTTTCCTACTCCCTGTACACTGTTATTCGACTCACTATCGTAATTTCAAATTTTTAAGACTTAATAGTTTTTGCTCAGCGAAACATAATGCGAAAAAGATTTCGCAAAAAGTTTTTAAAAAAATTGAAAATTTGCGAAAAACTCGTGATAAGTTCATAAATAAATATGAGCCTTTCAGAGTGCAAACTCAGTAGAGTGGACCACATGCCATTTTTAAAGGTTAATAATTCTCGATTTGTAGATTGTTATTATTTTTTTATAGCAATACTTCTAGATTTTTTGACTCATCTTCGTAATTTCAAGTTTCTAAGTCTAATAGTTTTTGAGACGCAAAACAAAGTGCAACGTAAAGTTCAGTATAGTTTGTCTACGGTAAAAACTCCCCCCACCACAAAATCTGAGAACGGCTGCTATGGAAACAAGAATAGCGCATTTAAGAGAGGGTAGCTAATCTTCATTCTAGGGCAAACGCAGATGACCGATGAAAAAGATTACCTTTCTTTTGCCGATCTGTGCCGAAACTTATCCTAAACATCGACCCCACTACTGTATTTGAAATAGTCATACCTCGTTACCATAGTGACCGCTACCGGTCCAGACGTATGACTAGAGGAGTTCTTACTTTAGACAAATTCTATCTGAAACAGCAAGCGGCAGGGGGTCTTACGATTTTTTAATACAGAGAAAAAACGTCAGTAAGATCAAATAACTAATCTTGACATCGATGGGAAGACAGCCACTACTCTCATCAGACTAAGAACAAAACATCATAAAAACATGAAAATTTCTACAGATGGGACTAGAAAATATCAAAACTGTGGCAACTGTCTTAGCGTGGAACTGACACCATATCATGTTTTTAACTGCCCTGCAGTCGCTGCAGGCCTTCACCTCTTAAACTACCCCACAGAAAAGGATTTGTATTCTTTTAATGCCATAGAAATAACAAAAACTATTCAAACACACCATGAAATATGATTCAATAGAGGATACGACACCAACCAACCAACTTCAGTAATGTTTGCTAGCTTACCATTCTATTTAATCAAAAAAAAGGAGTTGCAGTGATATTTTACAGCACTCTTTTTAACAGTTATTTATTTTTATTCGTTATATCAAATCATCAAATATGCTTAGGTAAGAACTGTGAATAACATTTGAAAGTCGACATCCATGAATATACTTTTAAAGTTATCTGAAACGATAATCGAACGGAAACGGAATAAACGGTAATCGAAGCAAAACAAATTAAATTATGGAATTGTTCCACTGGAGTAAATTGTGATTATCATGAGTTGCCTGTGAGGAATAACATTTTTGTTGCAAAGTAATATTGAGTGAATTTTAAAAATTGTTTTGACGAGAACTTCTGAAAACATGTTATACTTAATCTAGTGACATAAAATCACCGAAAAGTGCAACAAATAATAATATGTAATAAATAATAAAAATATTTTAGCTGTCTCATATGCTTTTCCATTGCATGTGTGATTGTGCAGTGTTTACTCTGTACGAAGAACAAGTATTCAGTAAGCAAATAATAAAATAAAACTTAATATCATCACAGTGATGTTAGTTTTTTAAAAACTATATTCTCTTTTTTTAGAAAAATAAGCTCACGAAAAAATGGATTTGAAAGTCTACCGCTTGCCCTACTAATACAAGCAAACACGCATGAATTTTTTTCCCACTCGAAAATAGCACAAATGGTTTTTCAAAATATGCAAACTGCGTTATTATGTGATGCTGTTTGAATAGAAATGAATGGTAATAGGAATGTTCAGGATTTTCATAAATCTATTAACCTTTTATGTTCCAACTATAGCATTCATATCATCTACTTATTTTTGAATACCGCTGTTTTCATCTGATAAGTTTTAAGTTCCTGAGAATTCCTCACGCTTGTTTGTTTGTTTTAGCCACGCCTGATTAAATAATGAACACCACAAAAGAATGCATCATTCATCAGCGGCTGTTTCGAGATTTATCTTAGCGCAATACTTGGAATGAAACTCTAAATGCTCAAATATTCTAATTGTTTTAGATAGATAGTTGCTTTTATTTATTTTCTTAATTTGTTTTAAGGGAAGTCAAATGGTAAAAAAGATGGAATATAAATATAAAGGTAGGATATAAATCCTTTTATTCCATAGGATATAAATCCTTTCATTCCATAGGATATAAATCCTTTTTATGCAAATTTAAAATCTCTCTATATTCCCAACTTTGATGTGCAATCAATCCCACATTTTTTCTTATATCCAATCAATAGATCGTCATCTTTGATTATATTTGCAATTTCCCAGCAGTTATTAAGGATTTAATATAGTTGCATTTAGATTTCTTTTAATAAATATGATTTCGTATTTGAATTTTTTCTGACATTTTTTGATGTGGAATAAAATGAACCCGACTGGAATAGTATCTTGGTTTTATGAACCATTTTGAATTTGATGTAGTTTATTAAACATTCATGATTGGGTAAAACACAACAAAATATCGTTTTTATAAGAGAAAAAAATCAATGGATATACAAATGAATAAACATTTCATACAGAAAATACTATCGAAGTGGTGAATAATAGTAGAAATCATTTGCGGATTGATGAACAAAATAAGAATTAGATTGATAAATTAAGTAATAACTGCGTTTATAAATACAAATAGTAATTGGGTTGATAAAATAAATAATAACGTTATTGATAAACTAAATAACAAATGGATTGAAAAGCTAAATTTTATTTGAATTCATGAACTAAATAATAAAGGAATTTGAAAAATAAATAATAAATGGGTGTGAGAACTAAATAACTAGATTGAGGAATGACTTGATTCATAAACTAAATACACATTTCTTTGATTTACAATGTGCTTAACAATTAATTATTCCTAAGCACAATTAACAATTAATATCTTTAAATAAATTGATATAGTTTATATATTCTAAGGAACTTTGGTGACTCACACTTAAGTACAGACGTCATGTTTTATACTTAATATATAACAACAAGCCTGCAACGATAGTCCTTCATTTCCAAGCAGAATCTCTATAGGAGTGGACAGTTTCATATCTTTTACAGGTATAAAGGATGAATGTTGGTGCATACACCAGGTATAACTTATTTCTAATTTCAGAATTTGAAAATCGGAAATAAAGATAATCCTTTTCTAATTATAAAATACATATAAAAGCTTTCCGGCACTTCGAGTTTGCCACACTTTGTATTAATTTTAGTTTTACATTAGTATATTTGATCATTTCTTTCAGAAGTAACGATATTTTGTTTTGCTCGTCGCTGGCTACGAATTTCTTACAATTTTGTTTTGAAAAAAGCCACTGTAGGAAATACCGGGTAAGACCCTACTGACCGGTTGATCCTTAAATTAAAAAGAAAAATAATGTAAGAATGCCGGCCAATGGCATTTTACCTTAGTTACGCAATTTATTTATTTAAAAAAATGAGGTTGAGACCGATAAAGCAGAATACAATTATTGAATTGCAGTTTAAAAAGAGATTTCATTTTAATATTCCGAGAGACAAATCCGAAATTTAACTTAAAAGTTGGAAACTGATGCCCATGGTCTAGAAGTTTCAAGCCATCAAGACTGTCACATTTTTTTTAAAAATATTTTTGTAAGTTAAAGTAATCATTTTTTTAAAACAGACATATAATATTTCAAGTTTTCTGAAATTAATTATTTCCTCAACTTGAAAATTCAATTATTTCGTTTTGCCTCAGATATGTCGACAATCTCTATAATATTTGCACTAAATCCCCATTTTCTCCTCATTTTTTTTTCTAAGAAAAGAATTTAACTAATTCAAACACAACTGATATTTCCTGGTTCTATTTTTGTTTTCTAAACCACGAAAAACCTACGGCAAAGAATGAAATTTGATGAGTTCTCTGCTTCTATTATATCTTCCCTGTTTCTTAAAGAATAGGCGTGTTGGGCGAATAGCACGCGCATATTGTTCTACAAAGGTGTTATCATCTTTGTTTCTATACTGAGGCGGTGCAATTGAACGAACTAATAATGTTATCTTGTAAATGAAAAACAATTTTTGTGTTGTCTATCATCTGTTATTTGTTCGAGAATCAGACAACAAAGAATTGAAATTCGTGCGAGTTGCTTAGAAAGAAAAAAATAGTCTTTGGAATGAAAGAATGTGTGACATTCGTGCCTGGATCAACAATGACTACAATTCCATTTCTTGATTTATGTGTGGTCAATATTTATTAAGATAGGAGATGATATAGGAAAATAATTATTTAGTTTATTTTGATTTAGTGTTTCTTGAAATTGTAAGGCTTGGTTTGTAGGTTAAGTTAATTAATTATATGTCATAACGAAAAATAACTTTCTTTTATTTTTATAAATAAAAATCGTTTCTTTTTTTTAAATTACAACTCGTTAATAGAAAATATGCTTTCAGATTTGAAGAAAAAGGAAGTTTATTATGAAAGGAATAAACAAATTCATCATGTTTTGAATAAAAAGCAGTTTTTAATTTTGTCAGAAGGTTTATGTAATTACACGAAGATAGTGCATTATTTTCCAACTTTTGCTTATCGGAATATACAGTAAAAAAGTAATTGCCGCCATTTTTGGTATTGAGATAAATCAAAATTTTTACAGTGCATATAGTATAATTTTGTAATTATTTTTTCACCGTTACAGCTTTATTTATTTATTCATTTTTTGTGGTCTTGTTCGATGACAGAAGGCTTCTTTTAATGTGCATTTGAATCAATTTCATGACTCCATTGTAAAAATTTTATATTTAAAAAACAAACGCATTTTTAATAATATATTCGAACCAATTTTTTCAAACGATTAATGTTTAGTCAATTTTATATAATTTTTTCCCTAATAGAAACAATTCTTCACTCAAAAATGTATTTATAACAGTAATCGAGAATGCATATGTAACAATTTTACATTTTAGTTACCAATTCATATTAAGTAAAGTGTAGTTTTCAAGCAAAAATTATGTAAAATTGGCAAAAGAACAATGGTTTTAAAAAACTAATATAGTTAAAAACTATATAAATATACTATATAAGTATAAACTTGCTTGTTTTTTAAACGAAATGTTTTTTCAATGAAGCTATTAAATTAGTTCTAATGCTTGTGAAAGTATAAGTTCTCAATAAGCAAACAGAGAGAAAACTGAATAAATAAATTCTAAAAAAACTATATTGGTGAAAAAGTTAATACAAAATGTAACAATATAACACTGTAAAAAATTTTAGTATGTCTCAACACCAAAAATAGTGGCAACTACTCTTTTTTACAGTGTATTAAAACTTTTATTGAAATGCTCAGTTTTGTTTGTTGGAATGTCAGGGTAAACTTATTTTCATAATGGGTTCACATTTTTATGCTGTTTAAAATTTGTGATGAAAGTTATTATTACGCATCATTTCCTCAAAACAATTTAAATTGATTAAAGCGAAAAAATCTTTACTCGTAAAAGTATAAAATTGTACTAAAAATTAAAACAGCTTTCTATACGAATAATTATTTTTTATTAGATTTTTTTTTAATTATTACCATGGAAGGACCAATAAAGAAAAAATAAATTGGCAAATGTTTCATTACAGCTTAAAACTTATGAAAGTAACTAAAACAGCAGAATAACAAGCAACATTATTATTCGAAAATAACTACAAGATAATAAAAGAACTATGAGAAAAAAGGGCTAAAATTTGAAAAAATTTCAAATTTTTCTAAAAAAATATGAACTTTGAAATTTTTAAAGAAATAATTTAAAGCTTCTGAAATTTTGTAATCATTAAATTTCAATTTTTTGATTTAAAAACATAAAATAATTCCGATTTTATCAATTATTATACATTTATAATATACATTTATAATATACATTTATAATATACATTTATAATATACATTTATAATTATAATAATTATTATACATTTATTCCTACCTAAATTGGCTAAATACAAAAAATGTATCACAATGGAAATTTGAATGGATCTCTTTCAGTTATTCAAGAGGTATCATGGACGGAAAACAATTACCGTACTATATGGTAATGACGATTCTAGTAAAGAAAAATCGTAATTTTGATTAATAAAATTAAAATATGCGGTGTTTAAACCATTCATTTTGGTAATTTTTCCATTAATATAGTAATAGTTTACCGAATATTTTGATTTTCGAAATTATAATTCTTTTTACTACTTTACAAAATTGAAAAATAAATTAACCGAATAAATGGTTTTTATGCTGAGCTCTAAATGTATTATGATAAAATTTCCATATCTCACCGCATTTACCGAATTTCATTACATGTTATAAAATTATATTATATTTTTAATTTTACAGAAATGTTTACCAAAAAGTTTCGGTGAAAATTACTGAGATTTTTGATGCTCCCATAGATCCAGAAATATGGTCATTTCTGTCATATGCTAGCGTTTTTAAACATACAATTTTCCTTAGTGTGCTTGCAAAAAAATTATTTTGGGAGAACAAGAAGAACAAAAACAAAATTCATCTTATTGATCATTGATCACAGCAGTAGTTGGCCAATTATCAACAGTTCAACTAATTTTCAACAGTAGCCAATTATCAACATTTCAACGATTGAAATCTCTTAAAATAGAAATATTTTTTAAACTTATATAGGTAGGTATATCCTTATTCACTTAATTATAGTACTCTTATGCTGTCTTTTTCTAAGAATATTCGCAATTAATTGAAGTACCCGTTCACTGACGACGATGCTCTTCCAACTCTTCCTTTCATATTTGTCTTGTATACTCGTTTTTCAATTCATTGAAGTACCGTTTACTGAGGATAATTCTCTTGCAACTCTTCCTTTCATATTTGTCTTGTATACTCTTTTCGCAATTCGCTTCTCCTCCAACTCTTCGTTTCATATTTATCTTGTATAATTGGTTCGCAATTCATTGAAGTAGTTTAGTTTTTGAACCAAAAAGTTAAAATATAAATTTGCTATTTTGCGGAAAAGCCACACTCCAAGAGGCATAGTTTCCCGACCAAAGCCTTGGATAAAATGCATTTAATTATGAAATAAATTTGATTTTTGTTCCTTTTTTTGAGTCATTGGAATGTTAGTAATCTCTTATAGTAT